AAATATTTATGTTAATAATATATAAAATTTATTTTTCATATACAATATTAAAATTTTATGTTAATGTTTTATATGTTAATGATTTGTGTAATATATAACAAATAACGAAACATGAAATTAAAAAACAAAAAATATAATAATAAAAGTTGTTATGTAAATCTCTTTTATTATTTTTGGAAGAAATACAAAATTAAATTTTTTATAGAAGCTTCTCCGACAAACAGTTTTATATAATAACGTTTTTCTTAATATTTATCTACTTTAAATATTTATATAGTTAAAAGAATTTGTGTTTATAAAAGTGAGAACTGAAATGTTAATGATTAATCATTCGCACTTGGCGTAAACCTCTTTATATCATTACTTTTGTAGAAAGTACAAAATTAAATAGCTATAGCTCAAAATTAATATTTTTGTAAAGACTTGTAAAATATCTTTTAACAGGATTTGTTTGTTATATTTTTTTTGTAAAGATTCTTTGCATAACAGTTTTTTTAAGTAACAATTTTTATTCTTTGTATTTTTTTTTTGTAAATAGCCAACTGTTATACAATTTTTGTTCAGTTGCTTCTTTAATATTTTTTGTAATGACAATTTTTCTGAGTAACAACTTTTTAGTATAATTATTTTAAAATGTTTTCTTTTATTGTACTTTTCAGTAAAGTATTTTCGAATGTATAATTGATCGGGCAAAAAGATTGTTTAAATAATAATTTTTAAAATATGTTTTAGCTGTTTTTTAGTTTTCTTATGTTTGAGGTAACTTGGAACACCAGGGTAACTTTGAACAATTTGCAACGGCTCACAAAACATGTGGCATCATTAAACGGATAGACGTAGAACTTTCATACCAGCGATATAAAAGTTACGGTAAATGACGGTATATTATTATCCTTGAAATGAAATAATTTTTGTTAATTTATATATTGACATTTTTGGCTCATTAATTTTCCCTCATAATTCATAACAATTTTAACATAATTTTCTGTAATTAATTTTGTTATAAAGTATTTATGGTTTTCAAAAAAGTTTAATTATTTTTATTACTTCTACTATACTATACTATTAGCAGAGAGAAGAAGGAGAGGGGTCAACTTCAACTTCAATATCTGGCTCCAGGACTCTCTAAGAGTTATGCCCCAACGCCATTTTTCCGATTAATGATCTATATCGAGAGTAAAGTCTTGGAAAATTCCAAGACACGTTCCAAAAAATCACACGATCCGAACATGTTCGAACACGTCTTGTCATGACGACGGTTAGGCCAGGACACTATAGGAGAGGGGTCATGGGCTAGTTTTAACTGATCCCGATTTCAGCTGAATGGTTACAGCATTTCTAACCAACCACGCACATAAACTACGTAGTCAACGTGCACGAATTGTCTCAATGGATAAAGAAGTAATGTACACGATTCTTGACGTTAGTTAGATAAAGACAGATAATCAACACTATCTGTTCTAATATAAAAATAAATAATTTCCTTCCAAGAAGAAAAATAATTTTTTTTTTATTTAAAAACTATGTTTAAATAAATATTTGCTTGTTTTAAAAGTAAATGAAATACGAATAAATCATTTTATAAATCTAAATAAATTATTTTCTATTATTAAAAGTATCTTTTTTGTAAAAGTATCTTTTTAAATTAAGTTTCTCTTACTATCAGAAAAACAATTTATTTAAATTTACAAAATAATTTATTTGTTTTTTACTTAGTTTTAAAACAAGTAAATATTTTTCAAATATATGATACTTTTCACATACTCTTTTTAAACATGCATTTTACATTTAAAAGGACCTATTCTTTTCTTTTAAATAAATCATTTGTTTTTTTGTACATGAGTATACTATATGAGTATGCAATAAGAAGTATCTGTTAGTGAAAGTGATGCAGTAGATAAACTGAACGACTCAAGAGCCAGAGGTCTCAGGTTCGAATCTCAGCAATAGTAAGCAAATTTTCGAGGTATAATTTAAATTAAATTAAATAGCATGTAAAATAATAGTGTGTTAAATTTAAGAAAAAATTTTAGAAAAAGACAAAAATATAATATAAAAAGAAACTTTAATTAAAAAAGACTAAAAAATAAAAAAGCTAAAAAATATTTTTTGATATTAAAAATATTTCTTTGATATTAAAGAATATTTTTTTTTAGAAGTATGTTGCATTTTTTCTTTCAATAAATATTTTTTGGAACTAAAGAATATTTCTTTGAATCAAATGTGAAATTTGATTTTACAAAAAATTTGCTTTTTTATAAAAAAAACTACATTTTTATCCCAGTAAATATTTACTTTCTCGTACAAAATAAAACAGTAATGTAATAAATATTTACTATGTTGCAGGAAATATTTTTTAAAGGTAAAAATACATTTTTTTATTGTAAAAATCATTTATTCATTTATTACAAAACTATATTTATATTCCAATAAATTTTTACTTTAAGAAACATATAAAGCTATAATTTAAAGTAATACTTACTATATTGTAAAAAATATTGCCTGTAACTTAATAATGATTTGGTTCAAAGAAAACTAATTTCTTGTCTTCAAATAAACTATTTTTTAATATTACAGTAAGTATAACTTTCATTGTGTACAAAACTTTTTTTATATTCAACATGATGTTTGTTTATTCTTCTTCTTCTACGATTAATTATTTTAAAAACTAGAAATTTAAAATACTGTTAATATTATTTCCAATTAAATTTTAAATTTAAACAATTTGAAAATTTAGATACGTTGCCTTTATATGTTATTCATTACAGATAACTTATATATTATTATCATTACTTATTTATTATTTCAAATATTATTTAAATTAAAATTCCCTTAAAATTAAATTTAAATTAATATTTAGAATGTGATATTAAATTAAATTTTCTATTTAAAAAATTTGCATACTATATCAATATCATCAAAATAAATAAAAATACTCATTAAAAAAAAAATTATTGCTTACCTCCGTGAGCGAACTTGGATCTTACGAATTATGAAGCAAGCACCTAACTCACGAAGCCAACTGCACTGGTTGGAAGTACAGTTACCGGGAAGGCTCATATGGCGCGCCGCGGTGCGCTTCGGATATGGCCAATTTTCACAAATTTATTACTCCGAAACTAAGGCTTATTCTATCAAACGCCGGGACACGTATTTTTTTTTTCATCTCCAGAATAATTTAAAAAATTGGGGTCAAAATCCCAGGGTGAGTCACCTGGTCCTCTCCTTGTAAGTTCTTTTTGAATTCTCTGTGCTCTCTAGGCTGACCGCAAAGTCGAGACGTACGCGCGGTTCCACACTTTATTTAACTCACCGGTATCAATTGTACTATTATAATTCCAATAGAACCCAGACAACATAATGTCTAAAATCGGGACATAAAACGTCTTAAAGATAATCTTTAAGACACTTTAAAGACATTTATACGTAAATCGTCTGAAAGATATCTTAAAGATGATCTTTAAGACGTCTTATGTCCTGATTTTAGACATTATGTTATCTGAGAATAAACTATCGAAAAGTCTGTACTTTTTCAATGACATTGATCTGTTGTTGTTACTAAGAAATAAACAATAATTGCTAGCGTTAACCCTACAATCGTCGCACTACTTTGCGAACACGAGTCGACGCATGGGATCTTGAGAGACCCCAATATGAAAAATTTATATGATATTTTTTTGTTTAATTAGGTTTTTGGGTTCATATAAACTATAAGAAAAAACTATTTTGGATATAATATTCTCTTAAAGACCCCATGCGACGACTGTAAGCGTGCGTACGTCTCGACTTTGCGGACAGGCTCTTAGAATGCCACTAGAATTTATTGCTTATTTGTCGTCAACTACAAAAGAGATATCGGTATGATTAAAAAAATATTTATTTTTCCAAAGTTCATTCTATTGGAATTAGAAGTTTTTAAATGTAATATTAATACAGATGCGTTAAATAAAGCGTAAAAGAAAAACACGTAGAAACTCAGTGTTTTTTAATCGATATCTTTTAACTTCTAATTTATAATTATAAATCTCTAGTTCCAATAAATTGTAGAAAAGTCGGTGCTTTTTGAGTGGCATCGATATCTTTTTTGTAGTTGCTGTGAAATAAACAATAAATGCTAGCGGCATATAAGAGCCTGCCCGCGACGTCGAGACGTACGCGCGCTCCCACGCTTTACCTAAAGCAGCGGTATTATTCATACTATTATAAAACACTAATGCTAATAGAACACTAATGCCTATTATAAAACACTAATGCCAATAGAATAAACTGTTGAAAAGTCAATGCTTTTTGAATGACATCAATATCTTTTATCGAGAAATAAGCAATAAATAATAGCGGAATGTAAGAACCTGCATATAATACTCAAATTAAAATTATTTTTTTCTCTTGTATCTAAATCAGTGTTCCCATGCAAATGATTCCTCAGTTACAATGACCAGAAAACGTAAACCTGAAAATTCTTCTGGAAGTACGAGTAACGCGATGCGTCAATAGCTGAGCGAAATGTTTCTTTAACGATAAAATCGCCGCTAACTTATGTCAGTGATAGAAATTTTGATCACGAGTAGCATGTACAGCACGGGATGAGATACGCACACACTCACGCGACAGTGGCTTAGTTTACATCGTGCACTTGATACGCATACTAAATAGTAACTTTCTATTAGATAATCTTAATATCGATAATGCATATCAACAGCGACGCATTCTATCAATACAATACGTTTTGTTGATGAGTATTATATCAGCTTAATATACCGTTGTTTATATATACCGTCGATATTAATAGCATGTTTGACTGGCTCTGGGTTAACTCATTTTGGATTATTCAGCCTACGTTTATTGGTCGAACAAGTACTTATAAGCTTTATGATTGGCTAGTAGAGACTTATAACGTCGTTAATCGCTCTCGGAGCAATTAACTCAGAGCCAGTCGAACATGTTATAAAATTATCTAATAGGTTTGGTTTACATCGTGCACTTGATACGCGTACTATATAGGCTGCGTTCCGAAATTCACTGCCAGTACTGAAAATCTATGGTATACGTAACATAAACTATAGATTTTCAGTACCAGCAGTGAATTTCGAAACGCAGCTATAGTGATTTTCTATTAAGTAATCTTAATATTGACAATGCATATCAACGATGATGCATTCAATCGATACAATAAGTCTTCTTGATCAGTATTATACCAGCATAATATACCATTATTTATATACATTGTCGATATTAAGATTATCTAATAGAAAGTTACTATTTAATTACGCGTATCAAGTGCACAATGTCAACCAACCCATAGAAAGTTATTATTTAGTACGCGTATCAAGTGCACGATGTAAACTAGGGCAATGGCTTGGTATAGTGTATTGGAAAATGTACAAAATGAATACGTGTGTATGAGTGTGTGTGAATATAAAGTTTTACCCTGATTGCAACTGGCTGTTATATTAAAATATACCTGTTAAATGATAGTCTTTTACCATTTTTACGTCCCCTAGTTGTATTTTATTCTAATTCTAGTTGTATTTTATTTTTCCGGCTTCTCAGGTCTCCGGCTTTTACAATGTTTCACGTAACAATCCGGTATCTTTTACCCAGTAAGCAATCTGTATGCAGACTGGCGTCAGATTGGCAACAGGATCTGTCGAATTCGAGCAGGATCTGTCGACAGATCCATAGTCATTTGCGTTCCCAATCTGCCTGTTGACAGGGTTTGCTAACAGGCTGTGACATCAAATTGGCGGTAGATTGTGCGCAGAGCCTGCCGACAGACTCTGAGGCTGGAGTCCCATGGCATGTATTTTCTACGTATCGCGTAAGTGCGTAATCAATAGATTTCGACGTTTAATATTTCTGTTGGAAGTTCTAAAAGAATAGAAAGATGAGATTAGTTATGCGGTTACGCGTTACGCGAAAATATGTACCATGGGACTTCAGCCTGAGGGTGCCATTACATGAAGTGTGGAACGCGGAAACACGGAAGACAAAATCTTATTAGATCCGCTACGCGTTCCGCGTTTGTTTTGATTGCCTTATGGCTCCTGCACACAGGACGCGGTAATGCTTGCCGCGCAGCGGAAGTTCGCGCGACAGTCAATCAATATGTTGCTTTCCGTAATAACCTTGCAGCTCTTACGAAAAAACAACATATTGATTGACTGTCGCGCAGATTTCCGCTGCGCGGCAAGCCTTACCGCGTCCTGTGTGCAAGAGCCATTAGGGTGGAGTCCCATGGCATGTATTTTCCGCGTACCGCGTAAGCGCGTAACCAATAAATTGCGACGTATAATATTTCTAATGGAACTTCTAATAGCGAATTCGGTAGCTTGCACTAGTGCGCACTGAGTGCGCATTAAGGCTTGTTTACAGTACATTCTTATATTTAAGATCGTGTCTTAAATACATATTTAAAAACATTTTAACTAATAAAATGATT